TGTCGCCTCGGCCCACCACGCCACCACGCCTCCAGCGTCATCTTACCTCACATGTCGGCTACTGTCGTGGCTCCTCTGTTCCCCCCTGCGCGGGAGAGAGCGCGCACGCCGGAGGAGGAGCTAGAGGCGCGGGAGAGGGTGCTCATGGACGAGGAGGCGACGACAGCGTGGGAGACAAAGCTCACGATGGGGATGTTGTGCCGAATTTGGGGATGAATCCATCTGGGAGAGAGAGGGAAAAAATACAGATTTGTCCAAAGGGAAAAAAACCAGAGCAGGTCTTGTGCCGCGAGGAACAGAGTCGTCCGCGTGGGGTCTGAGAGAACTGTTGGTTCTAACTGACTCATCCAGTCACCATGCGCCGAGATTTATATGCGTCTCATCGGGCGACTGGCACCACATTCGCTCTGAATCATAAAAAAATGATCGTAAACTCTAAGCTTTCGAGAACACTAAAAATCAAACGACATAAGTTTAGACATGACTAATTTAAGGACCCTGATAAGTGTCACACGTGTAGCACGAAGCAATTCCGCCCTGACATTTTTTATAGCAAGCTTAGTTACACGAGGATGATAACTTCAGTTGTGAAACATGGCAACTTTCTATTTGGATGGCCAATTTCAGTTTTTCTGTGGGTTTTTTCTAATAAAAATTTTAGTTGTAAAAAACATGAGGCAGGTGTTACTTTGTGCCACATGTGTGGCACTTATCTTTTGGGCAATTTAAAGTTTTAGTGCCAATTTATATTGGCGCAATGACGATAAATTTAGTTTGCAAGCATGGTAACTTTCTCACAAAATAAATAAACTATGACAGATTTGTCATGCTCACCAACTAAAACTTTTCATCCTCCAAGAACATAATTTTCCATGAAGAAACATTCGTTTTCCCATGCTTAGAAAATCTGATGTTGATATCTATCCATCATATCTACTTTTCCTAACACTTTTGCTGTTGTTTTGAAAGGTAATTTGCATGATTTGAATGAAACTAACCCGGACCGACGTTGTTTTCAGCAGAACTAACATGGTGTTGTTTCTTGTGCAGAAATAAAAGTTACAGAATCGGACGAAACTTTGCTGAGATTTTTCATTGAATATATGAAAAATATATTGGAACGAAGATCCATCGGAGGGGCCACCAGTTACTCACAAGGAAATAGGGCACGCCTACCCCGCAAGGCATGCCCTGACGCCATATGGGTCCCACTGGCTGCCGTCTGACCTAATTCCAAGCCTATAAATTCTATTTACCTAAGAAAAAAATAAGAGAAAAATTTTCATTACGTTTTACGATACGGAGCCGCCACCACCTCCTATTCTTCCTTGGTAGGGCAGCTATGGAGTCCGTTCAGGGCTCCGAAGAGGAGGATTCGTCGCCATCATCATCACCAATCCTTCTTCATCATCAATTCCATGATGCTCCTCATCGGGAGTGAGTAATTTCTTCATAGGCTTGTTGGACGGTGATGGAGTTAGATGAGATTTATCATATAACTGAGTCAATTTGTTAGGGCTTGATCCCTAATATCCATTATGTTCTGTGATTGATGTTGCTATGACTTTGCTATGCTTAATGCTTGTCACTAAGGCCCGAGTGCCATGACTTCAGATTTAAACCCTCTACGTTTTCATGAATTTATTTGATTTATGATCCTATCTGCTAGTTGTATGCACTTGTTATTGTTCTGATCCGTAAACCTCAAAGTGACAATAGTTGGGATACTCTCCTACTGTAATTTGAGGATTTCTTGTATTCACCGTGTGTTAATGCTTTGTTCCGATTCTCTATTAAAAGGAGGCCTTAATATCCCATAGATTTCCTTATGGACCCTGCTGCCACGGGAGGGTAGGACAAAAGATGTCATGCAAGTTCTTATTATAAGCACGCATGACTATATACGGAATGAATGCCTATATTGAATTGATGAATTGAAGCTATTGTGTATCGCTCTAGATTGTGACTGTTATATGATGAATGCCATCCAACACAAATATCAATCATTGATCCAATGCCTACTTTTTTTTATATTAATCTTTGCTAAGTTACTATACTTTGCTGCTAGTGTTGCAATCACTACAAAATTGCTAATGTTACTATCACGGTAACTATTGATATTGTTACCGCTAGTATCGAGCTATCATACTATTGCTGCAGATATTTAGCTTTCCAGGTGTGTTGAATTGACAACTAAACTCTAAGGCACATAAATATTCTTTTACTTCCCTTGTGTTGAATCAATAAATTTGGATAAAATACTATCCTCAAAGACTATCGTGATCCCCGATATTTTTGGATTATCAGACGTCAGATTTATAGTGGAGTCATAAGAGCAACTCCAATAGTTCCCTTGAAAATCTTCCCGTAAAAGTGGCTTTTTGGCCTTCTCGAAAAAGAAAAGGTAACTTTCGTCAGTTCCCCTAAACTTCTTTCCCTAAATGCATTTTTTACTTTTACTTAAACTAGAAAATTAGATAAATTGGTAGGACCCACCGGCCAATGACACTGGCAGGCGTGCGGTGGCCACCGGCGAGGCCAGGGTGCAGGCAACACTGGAGGGGTGTGGCGACGGGGCGGATGAGGCGGATACGGACCGGTAACGGCAGCAGGAGGTGGGCAGGCGCCAACGTGGGCAAGGTGGTGGCGGGTGACGATGGCGGGAGACAGTGTAGGCGAGGCGGCTGCCAATCTATACCTACTAATAAAGGGGCTAGCTATTGCTTCTTACTACCATAATTTCGTATTATTTTCTATCCGAGGTGGTACTATAATCTGATGTATCTATATATCCCTGTCCGTATCTGTGTACGTAAAACACAAATCCCACTAAAAACGCTTCGTTCAACGTTCTGCTCGTACGCACCCCTCCGTATTGGGCCATGTTGCTCTTTTTTACCACAATTGCTGGATGGCCTTTTCTTATGGGCCACGGATGGTCCTTCTAAAAGTCACATAAAAAAGATAATCCTTGGTAATCAAACTCATGACTTCAAGGATCAAAAGGTGGCTGCACCGACCGACTCAACTATTGATATTTCATGTTATATAATCCCACCTCGCTCCTTTAAGCAGACTGCGACCAGTTTATATAGGATCACATGTTTTCTGAAATATCAATATCAGGACTAAAAAACTACAACCAAGAATTGTGGGCTGTCTCAAGGAAGGGATATTAAAGGAAGGACTCCATCCTTAAAAAGGACATTATGGGGCTGGATTTATCAAGGACGCAAGGCAAATAATCAGGAATTGTGAGCTGTCTCAAGGGGAGGTGTATGCCCGCTAAAAAAGGAGAACAAACGAGCCCGCCGTAGGAGGGGGGATACGAGAGGATTAATAATAACAATTATCAAGGATGGATGCACGTGCGCCCTACTTGAGAGGGGTTGAGGAGGATGGATTTGACGATTGTGATCCTCAAGGAGAAGGGATTGTGAGAGGGACGTGCTGCCGTAGGGGATTCGAACAAAGTAATGCAGCTCAAAGAAATATACAACATCGTCTTTATTAAGCTTTGCAATTTCGGCATACATATTTTTTAAGTTACCACTGGATGCCTTTATCACCGTCAACGCATCAGAGTTCCTTTGGCCGAACCAACACACCATCAAAACCGCATCAAAAATCATAATCCATTCAGATGAAGCAGAACTTGAATCATGCTTCCTAAATGATGAATTTTAACGTTCAATCTATACCAACCATCGCAAGACTATGTCACGGTCAGTAAGAGATTTTCCAATTACTAGAATAATGTAGATATTGTCAACTTCCTAGACTTTGTTCTTGGTTCGATTGTTATCATTGGACGCATGCACCATGCTCCATACCAGCCACAGATATGAACCGGATGTTGCATACTGTGGCATCACCTCGACGCGGTCATCGAAATGTCACTCCCATGTAAACTTTTGTGTTACTTTTTTAGCCTTGTCCGTATGAGTTTAGATTAGTGAGTCTCAAGTTAGTCCGGTCTACGAAGCTCTATCACCGTCACCAGAAACTGAATGCTGGTCGTTAACATTACTCCTCCACTACATCTAAAACAATGGAGGTGAGAATGGAACTAATACACATCATGGGTGTACTGCATCTAAAACAATGGAGGTGAGAATGGAACTCGGAAAGCTGCAAACCAAACTGCATATATTTGCTAACAGTTTTGCAAAAACGGTGTGGTTGAAAGCACAATTCTTCGTCGTCTTGGGAATAATTTATGTGGATCATAAATTAAATAATGATTTGTATTTTAAGCCATGCTAGGGAAGACCATAAAATTTTATCCCGTTGCAAAGCACGGGCATTTTTGCTAGTTATATTCTAAATATGAAAATTTATTCCCTGTTTGCAACGCACGATGAAGGTGAAGTGGGGGTCATCCCGTTTTATAGGAGAGAGATCCAGCATGAAATGTCCCGATACAACGAGAAACCGAGCGGGAATGCAAGGGTCCGATAGGAAAAGGGAAGAATTTGTCGTGGGTTGGAGTTTTTGTCTTGGGCCCACTTGTTGGACATAACATGTCGTATTGTCCTAACAACCACATTTCTCCCCCATATATGGTCTAGAATCGGGCAGCCCAGACTGTCGAGATGGTTGAATTTCGGGGAGCCTACTGGGCGTCTGTTTAATGTCCGAACACGTCTGAACATATGAAGGGGATGAGCTTGGACCTTGAAGACAACCTTAATCATTTATTTGATTTATTTATATATATGCATTATAGCCCATAGAAACGCACGAACATTCTACTAATTTTGTTATACATAGTTTGTATATCTCAAAAAAGAAAAAATATACATATTATTAGGAAAGTCTAAATTATGGAATATGAAACTTGGAAACTATCCTATCATGCATGTTTGATATGTTTCATTCAATTTTCACACATCCATGAAACAAAATCAAAGATCCCATGCAAGGGACACACGGCAGAAGTTTATTTCCCGATTATTATTTTTTAAAACAAGCGTTCTGATGGGCATGTGCTGAGGTAGCTATTGGCAGGACCGATCTACGGACGACGCAATGAGCGCCTCGCGGTCCATCTCGTAGCCGCACAAGTATTTCCACGCGTGGCACTCGACGCCGTCGGCAAGCTTCTCGAGGCATCCCGTCGTGATGTTCAACATGAAGACGCCCTGGCTTGTGCACCCTCCTCCTTCTCCAACGGTGAACATCAACGTGCCGCTCTTCTCGCCAAACCAGCGCAGCTTATACGCGGTTTTCATGGTAATCCCGAGCTCGGGTAGGCTGATGAGTTTGAGTCGGGCCTGTTCGTGCCCCTCCCACTCCCCGCCGGGAGCCGTCTGGGTCTCGATGTTGATGAAGAAGTCCGTGCATCCCAGGAAGCCCACGTAGAGGAAGCTCAGGCGCTTCCCGTCCGCGGAGGTGCCCAGCAGGCGCTCGCCGGCGTAATAGTGCGACTGCCGGTAGGGCACCGGGCACACGTCCATGGGCTCCGACGGCGCGCCGTCGAGCCGCACGCCAAACGCCTCGTGGTGCATGGGCCAGTAGGCCGCGCCGCCGACCACGACGGCGTGGCCAAGACCGCGCAGCATGTTGGCGCTGATCTTGGCGCCGGGTTTCCTTTCTTCCGGCCCCCAGCGACATCCGACGCCGGCGTCGGCGCCGGCAGAGGAGCAGGAGCGCAGCGCCGTGAAGCTACGGCGGTTATAGACGAGGAGCACGCGGAAGAAGCACGACGGCGCGGGCACGTCTAGGTCGTCGCCGGTGAGTATCGCACACACGTAGTGCCCGGGGCAGTGGTCGCCGGAGAGCGGAGGGAGCATGGAGATTTCCCCCGTCATGGGGTTGCACACGCTGAGCGTAAGGCCGTCGGCGCGCGCCTCGCGCCGGAGCTCCAGGACAACACGGCCGTTGCGGGATGCGACAGGGCGGGCGTGGTCGAACAGCCCGGCAGCGACGTGTTCGAGCTGGGGGCGGGGGGCCAGGAGGCGCGAGGCGGCTTCCGTCGGGACGAAGCGCGGCGGCAGCGCGGGGGATTCGCGGGGGGCGCGGGCTTCCTGGTGGAAGAAGCCGAGGGCGAGGTGGGGGAGGAATTGCGCGGGCGGCGGCAGAGAGCGGGAGATGGCGTCGGCGTGCGTGGCCACGGCGTTTACCGAGTGACTGCACGTCGCCCCGCAGCGGACGATGTCGGTGGCGGACGAGGACAAGCCAGGCAGAGCCTTTTTTCCCTCGGCGCCGGCGCGCCTGGTCCGGTGTCGTTGCTGGTGCCGCCACAGCCACCCGTTGGTGTACGGTGGTGGCGTCGCCGAGGGACGGGCGCGGTCCCGTCGAAACGGCGGCATCGGATGCGCGTATTTTTAGGTTAGGTTTCCAATCTGTTGCAACGACTTCTGAGCCCACGAGTCCATCACCTAGGTGCCTCCATATTTATGCACCCACCCCCTAAAAAAATTATGCAACCCATGGGATCGATCCGAGTCTCTTTTTGGTTTTTTTGGTGCGGTTTTTACCGATCCGAATCTGATCGTGCATTGATCATCCAGGCCCTGGGCCGTTATTAGCCCAGCCTATTCAGGCCTACGCCCATTTCCCCGAACTAAATCGCCCTAAGACCATTACCATTAATTCGTATTTTCTCACCATCAACTAGCTAAAATTGATTAACCCTAGGATTAGGATCCTTTTTTCCTTTTTCCTCTATGCGTATTTTACATGCCACCCTAATTTGCTATAGAGAATTTCTATTTTTTTATCAAATAAAATAAGATAATATCTACATCTATATCTATACCTATTAATAAAGCAAGGTGCATTTCGTTAATTTTTTCATCCGTTTAACACGGAATTTTTTTTATCCGAGGTGGTACTAAATTCTTATCTGTTCGTCTGCTAGAAAAAAAGGCTTTTCCAGAATTTTGTATGTGGGCCAGGCGCTGTGGCCCAGTAAAGCCAGCCCACTTTTTTCTACCCGCGTAGCTGGGAAAATATTATTGTCTGCGCTGGGCGAACAATAGTCGGAGCTTCACACAGGACAACCAATAATGGGTTAGCCCATTTTGCTTTGTCTCTCTGTTTTAATTATATTTTTAATCTCCATTTCGTATATCTTTTTGCCCTTCCATGTTTAATTTTCTTTTAGAATTTGTTTCTTAAATTTACAATAGTCAAAAGCATTCAGAATTAAAAAATTTAAAAATCAAAATTTAAAACGTTCAGAATTCCAATTTTTTTTGCCATTTTCAATAATATCCGGAACTTGAAAAAGTTTCCCATCCAAAAAAAAGTTATTTTTTTAAAAAAATTTGAGATTTCTAAAAAGAAAATGGAATTTAAAAATGTGCCAAATTCAAAAATATTCTTATTTTAGTGAAATTTTCATAATTAAAAATAATTTTTGCCTATTAAATATTTACATTTTCTAAAAATCTTAGTAATTTTCACATGTTTCCATTTAAGAAAATGTGCACAAATTCAAATAGTGTTCATGTTTTTATTTAAAAAATTGGTGTTTCCAAAAAATATTTTCGAATTTTAAAAGATGTTCCCGTTTCAAATTTTGTTCGTGTTTTTCCAAAAGTGTACATAATTTTCAAAAAAACTGTTCAGAATTTAAAAAAGGTTCATGTTTGATCAAATATTCAAAAACTTCATACCTTAAAATCCCCTCGATTGAAAGGAAAAGTAGATTGAATAATTAATGGGTTGTCTCTGGCATATGATGATGTAACAAAACTCCTAAATGTCCTCTATCAACGAAGGAAAAAATAACGGATTGATTACTTCATAAACAGCAAAACTTAGAGGCTAAATGTTCCTTTATCGCATGCACATAGGGTTTTGCTTGCACATATAATTTTCACTAATTTTAAATGCATACTGTATTTTCTCCCGTTGCAACGCACGAGCATATGTGCTAGTAAGATATTATTGTAGGTAGCACGGGAGGGGAAAGCGACTGCAAATCAGCGTTAAAGGCGCCGGATGCAGTTCATGCTGCAAACCGGCGCGCACACAACCTCGGCTCTGGGCCGGCCCATTTCACATTTTGCTCGCTGTTTAAATAAATGCACTAACCAATTCAACAACTTATCTCTTGTGCGTAACTACTTTCTTTTTACATTTCTATGTATAGGAAATGTTTTCTAACTTTAGCTCCCGTGAACCTCTCAAAAAAAAACTTAGCTCATGTGAGATTTTTTTTGTCGTATCTTTTTTTTCAGTTTTCTTTTTTCTTTTCTTAAAGGAAAATGATTGGGATCACCCCGTGAAAAACGACGCACGCGTCCGCCGCCTCTGTGGCCGTTGGATCTGATTTTAATCAGATTGCTAGAAGCAACATATTACGTAGACTAGGTTTCACAACTGAGTCGTTGTTGCAATTTCCGCCACCGCAACAACTCGTGTGTTGCGAGATCTGGACCAGTACTCCTCCAAAGCTCCCCATCAAGGCGATGCCTCCTCGTGCTGCTTTGACCGCCACCACCAACGCTCGCCACCGGCAGCACGCTAACGAAGTTGCCAACATGGGCGTCGCTGCTACCGCCCACCTCCACCATTAACTCAGCCATTGTGGTGCGCCCGAAAGCTGCATCCGCCGTCCTAGGGAAGCATCGGGGATCACGTCTATCACTAGGAGCTGCGTCCATCGTTGCCCCGCCGTCCCGAGGAAGCATCGGCCTTTTCCTTCGGCTGACGTGGTCGCTGCTTGCTGCTCGCTACAGCGAATTTCTGCAACAAGGTCTCCGTTGCTAAAAAACTGTAACAAGACCTTTGTTACAAAACAAATTAAATTTCAATAAGAACGCTGTTGCCAAAAAAAAAATACAACAAGACATTTGTTGCAAAAAAAATCTATAACAAGACATATGTTGCAAAAATAATCTGTAACGTGACCTTTGTTGCAAAATTTTCTGCAAAATAACCCGTGTTGCGGAAACTTTCTGCAACATGACATATGTTGTAGTGATAGAAGGTGACCCTCAACTATTCAATCTGTCAGATCTGACGGCTCGCGAGGCATCAGCCGGCCGATGCGTAGCAGCGCCCTTTCTTAAATGCGTCAACCTTTTTCAGATACATTATATTTTTTAAAATCGATGATCCTTTTTCAAAATTAGTGATTTTTTTAAAAAAAATTGATGAACTTCTTTCCAAATCCGATGAAGGTTTTTCAATTTCGGTGAAGTTTTTCCGAATTCGATGAACTTTTTCAAAATCAATTAACTTTTTTCATTTTAGGCGAACTTTCTTTAAAATCGATGATTTTTTTCAAACCCGATGAACTTTTTTTCAAATTCGATGAGTTTTTTTTTCTCCAAATTTCATGTTTTTTTCCAAATTTTATGAACTCATTTCCAAAATCAATTAACTTCTTTTTTTTTAATTCGACAAACTTTCTTTTTAATGTCGATGGACCTTTTTCAAATTTGTGAACATTTTTCAAAATCAATGAACTTTTCTTCAAACTTGATGAACCTTTTTCATTTTTCCATGAAACTTTTTTCAAAATCGATGAACTTTTTTAAGTTTTTCAACTTTTCTTCTAATACTATGAACTTTTTAAACTCGATGAACCTTTTGAAATTCATTATTTTGTGAAATAATTTAAAATTCTAAGTGTGCAAGTAGACGGTGTTGTGCAAGAAATATCGCGGCCACGATCTTTCTTATATCATTGGTGCTATTATTAGTCAATAGAGTCGAGTGGTTGTAGTGGTTGGCCGCTTGTATGTGAATGCTATGGTGTAGGTTCGAGCCCTAGAGAGCTCAACTTTATGAATGTTTTTTTCGTGCTTAGGATTGCTGCGTTGTGCGTTCGTGGGCCGGGCCAACTAGGTGCTGTAGTGAGCGCTAGTTGGCCTCCTCGGCGCTAAAGGCGCGTAATAGGAGCTCGCACAGCGACTCATTGACTCGGTGAAATCACTGATTAAGAGGACTTTTTGCAAAAAACATTTTAGTAAAAGCATTGCGATAGATTCATTTGTTCAAAACATTTTATCTTTTAAATCGTATGTTCAAATCTTGAACCGTTGGATTCCTCGCATCGACATTTTTTAAACTAGATATCGGGTTGATAGGTTTCGATGGACTTTTTTTCACGAAAAAACAGGACGAAGAAAATCAAACCGGAAGCACTTTTTTCAATTTTGTTTCCTTTTCCGAAACAGCCATAGCTGCGCCTCTCACGTAAGCAAATATGTGCCTCTTGCGGAAGAAAAGAGAGAAAACACAACTTTTTCTTTTTCCAAGAGGCACAGTTCTG